TCCAGAATAGTCTAATGCATGATACAGAGCAGCCTGCAGGGTTCCAGGTACATATTAGCTCCATCAATTTCCTAAAAGGGGTATGACAGACGAAGATAAGGATCAAGCGAGTATAGATTTCCAAATATAGAAGAAAACGAGATGAGGGTCCAAACACGGGAAATGGGTTCGTACCAAGGTCAACAAAACAGCGACTGTACCGCGAATCGCAACCAAACACACGGGATCAACACTCTCGTCCGAGCCTACGTCCGAGTGCACGATCGGAGGTTATCAGCGATAACGCTCCCGCTAACGGACGGATGATAAGAGGGGAAGAAAAGGTGAGAGGAGGTGGGATGGCGCTTGAGGGTCAGAGAAGGGCGATGGACAGTAACCGGTGATCCCTTTGGGAACCAGATGGCGAAGGGGACGTGGTGGAGAGGGAGGAAAGCAACAACTGTTGCCGTGCTCGCTCACCTTAAGGTTTTTGCTGGTATCTAAAACCGTCTAGTCTCGTTACAGACTTGGTATCTGTCTGGGCCCGATCGGAGGGGGGGGGGGGAACGATGGGCTCCTCCGACATGCGTACTGTGTGGGATCTCCTCAAACACGCCGCGCCGGATGATAGGCTGTCAGGGGCCCCGATCTGAAACAACGGGCCATCAGCTGTTCTCCTTCCGAGCCTTAGGCTTCTTACCCTTTCCCGGTTTAGTGGCGGCATCCAACTTTCGCACTATTCTTAGGTGGTTTACGCTGTCGCTTCTACTCTGGTTCCATGGTTTCTGTGACCCTTCAATCAGTGAATAGCCGAGCAATTGCTTAATTATTGTCTATCGTTATATTTTTTTTTCTTGTGTACCCCTTTTGGTTGAGACTGAATGTGTTACAAGTTTGGCTGCTTCTTCCAATATTCTTCTAGTAACTGTATAGACAGGCAAGAAAGTATTGATTAATTACTACAATACTAACAACATTCCATACATCAGTAGGTCAGATCCTGGGGTTCATTGGTAGGTTCCATCATCAACTGCTCCGCGCACACACCAGTATCTAATTATGTCTACCCACAAATTCGGGCTACTCCTGATTTGTAAAAGCGGCACTACCACATCAGATAGAAAGAAACACAATAGAAACAGTACAGTAACTACTAGTAGTAACACATTTATCCGCAGAGAACAATGTGATTCCTCATTCAGGCAGGTCAGCTCTAGTTATCTCAGGTATATGTTCAGATTCAGTGGGATTTACCTGAGGCGACTGATCTAAAAGTAAGCAGTGTGAAACCAGCTGACGACTGCTGGCTCCATTATAAGGCGCGTCCTTTAAAGCAATCTTTAATATCGGTTGGATGTTAGAGAGTGTATTCCTATCCTGGTGGGTGTGGTACAATTGGTCTGGTGTTGTTTTTGGTGGGGTTTTGTAACAAGCCAACAGCAGATGCGGAGAACTTCGTCATTTATTCCTACAACACTGATAGCTATCTTCTAATCTCTGGCTTCGAGTGAAGCGATCTAGTGCAGAGTATGTAATTACCTGATAAAAATTAACATCCATTTCAAAGGGCCTTCATGTCGTAGTAATAATCATCTAGATTTGCCTTACTAATTAGACACCTTACCTATGTCAGTGAGGTAGTTTTATATGCAGATTAGCACAGCAATAGCATGAGGTACTCGCTGCCTCGTGTAAGCCAGCATATACTCCGGAGCCGGACACCACAACGAGATAAACCCCAAGAGAGTCAAACCGAATTAGTCTTAGAGTTGCATGATTTCGGGACGTGTGGACGTTCCCTGCCGACTCCCTTGTTAGGAAACAATAATACTAGTATTATGCCAGGTGTCCGTACAAACGCATTCAAACCACTGGAGAATATGGCAACGGATCGCATTTTCCGTCAATATATTGCTCCGGTTCTTGTTGCTCATTGGCATCCAGTCCTTCTGTGAAAAGGCTCGTCACGGGCCCAATAAATGCCGACCCTGTCATAAACGCCCAAGTCATCTTAAGACTGGTCCTCGGTAATAACGATACGCTGCCGGAATGTCAGTTCATATATTTAATAATCTGAACGAGCGTGTTCGCTTCTTGTGCAAGGCTAGAGGCCTGTTGCGCAAAGTACTGGGTAGGCCGCCAATTTGATGTAAAATTTACCTCGAAGATCACACCCCTAATGGCGACACCTATACTCTGTTCAGAAGAGCACGAGAAGATATATATCGAGGCTGCATACGTGTTGTCCTTCTCTACCACAGCTTGTATCCAGCAAGCGAGACTGCTGTAGAGCATACCCAGGTTGAGCCCGGCACCAGATTCAGGAAAATCCATTCAGGTATCATTGTGCGAGGACTATGCAGATAGAGCAAGCCCATTCCAAGCACCCTCATGAACCAACCCCCCAAATTGCCCATCGATAGCGACCCGACGTGCTAACATGCCCCACCTACCACATTTCACGCAGGGACAACAGTGGATATCTCCCGGAAAGTTGCGACTCCTAGGGTGATAGCACTATAGCTTTAAGCGTACTTGTAGTAAAATAGAAGATAATGGAGGAGGCACCATAGTATAACACTGTGAATAAACGTTCCCAGGTACTAATCATTGCTGTATGCTGCCTGGAAATGAACGAGTCGAAGAATGGGGTCCGGCGGTATCTTAGCCTCGTAGAGGATGAAGCTTGTGAGTCCAACTCTTCCTAGCACCAGAGGTACAACAGTTTACCAAGAGGGTCATGGGATGTCACGTTCCCCAGAAATGGCCAACAGAAAGCTCATACTGGAAGCAGTCGGAAGAAAAATGCCAAGCTAATCAAATTGGAAAATCCTTGAGAAAATATATCCAGGCATCTTCCTCAGGTTTAAAAATGCGATAACTGTAACCAATTCAATGCAACGGGTAAGAAGATTGATCCAGAGAATCTAAGTCCAGGAAGCCGCCTCCACGAAAGCGCCATCTATTACTGGTCCGGTAACTGATCCAATAGTCCATACGGCGCTTTGACAACCAAACTATGCTCCTCGCTCACGTCAAGGTACGGGATCGGCAATGATGTTCTCGGCTAAGCTGATGATACCTCCACCAACAGAGCCCCGAAAATTTCGTCCTACGAATACTGTAGCAAGGTTCTTCGATACAACAGCGACAGTTGATCCAACAGTAAAGAGGACAAGAGAAAGTATGACAAGATTCTTGCGACGAAAAGTTTACGTCAAAGACCAAAGTGTAAGCTGGCATGGTTGGTGAGCAGGAAGGAGGTACTGGTCCAGAAAGCTTCAATCGCTGAACCTCTAAGATCTTGAGGTATAATCTACATGAGTTGCGTATTAGTCTAAATACTATTAGAAGCAGAATATTGGCAGGGAGCCAGGCGTATAGGCAGGGCAGTGGACAATGAGGTGCATTTAAGGCAGTGGCGAAATCGCATTGCAAATGCTGCTGAAAGCAGTGTACAATCGAAAGCCAGCAGGAAGCTGTTGCTATTATTTTGGACTTGTTTTAGTGCTGACACCGGACATGGCCAGTTTCTTTGCTATAACCCCGAGTGGCTTATAGAAAAGGTGGCGAGCAATAAAGCGACACTAAGAAATTGGGCACGATCTAGTGTTCATGTCCAGGAGGTATTTAACCAAAAAACGGCTTGACAAACTAATGCACGCCAAAAGATAGTTTTAGTTGTTTGATAAGAAAATGAATACCTAGTATGGATCAATCATCCGTTTACTGGTGTACAAAATAGTCCAACACCCATTCCACCTTCGAAGCATGCGAATTTCCGATTCTTTTACTGGGAACTTGTTTTTATTTATTTTACAGTACTTCCCCGTTTTTCGTTCTTTAACACTACTACTGGAGTTTCTATATGAGACGATCAGCACACCGTACATTTCCTCTAGAATGGACTTCCCCCCCTCCCGTTGCGTTATTATAACTATGATCAAAATCCAGCCATTGTTGGATGGTATGATATTAAACTATTTTAATTTTGCCAACATGTACAATGTATACGTCGAATAAATCCCGTTGACTGGATCCAGTAAACCCCCTCTTTCCTTTAAATAGTTAGGAGTACCTCTGGTCACTGGTGAGGAGACGTACTGTGTGTATGATGCTAAGGTTGTATCAAAAGCAAATATCTCCGCACCAGTGGGGAGGGCGGAGTGTATCTGCGTCCATTAGTATTCCGATCCTTACCCAAGAGACGTACCGACAACCACGATTGTATTATTCCTCTCTCCTCAATCAGTCCTCGAAATAGTTCAAAGGCTTCATTCTTCCGTAATCCACCGCACGGAATCTATAGCTCAATTTGGTGATGTATCCCAGCCCCCACGGGAAACTTCACTGACTCCTAACCGAGTTACTTTCCAGACAGCTTAAAAAGGTAATGGTGACTTTAGGGCTTTGATGATCAGACAACAAGAGTCCAACGTCCGCGGCAGCCACGTGACCCCCCTCGCAAAACCCCCTCATGACAACCCCACAGTTTTTCTTCCCCGCTCGCAGGTTATCCATCAAAGGACAAATGCTCCAATTCCAAGGCAATTCGCTATGGAGGACGAGAAAACTTCCCCTGGGAAAGTGAGAAAGAAGTCTACTCCCGCCAACCGGAAGTCTCTGTCTTGCGAATATTGCAGCAGGTCTTTTGCGCGTCTGGAGCATCTCCAACGCCATCTCCGCACACGTTGAGTAACCCTGAAGACGTCCCAAATTGGCATCTGCCTCTGCGATGTGCACTGTGTTAATTGTTTACCTACAGATACGAAAGAAAAACCCTTTTCATGTGACATATGCTCCAAATCTTTTGCAAGAAGGTGAACACACTTTCCCTGTCGAACACGACTGATCAACGCTAATCTCGGGCTTTACTTGTCTGTAGCGATCTGCTCGTACGACATGAGCGACTAGTTCATCCAGCAGAGGCAGCAGCCAATCGCGAACATCGAAACAATATCAACCATGATGTCCCTCAGACCCCGTCATCCATAATACAACCGACCCACCAAGAGTCGCGCATGCTAGAGCTTGCAGATGCCGTTCCAGTACAAACACAACCAGTTCCGCAGGCCCCACCAGAGGTGCAGGTTCAACCTCCTCCAATAGTCGAAACGACTCATTTCAACCCATCCTGGGGGTACGATCTAAATCTGCTCTCTCATGCTGCTAGTCATGTGGCTCTTGAGGGCCAGCAAGAAAGCCTCGAGTCGATGCGTAAGCCTTCACAGAGCGTAGGCCCTCCCCAGCCGTTGTCTCAGGTTCCGGAGAGAGCAATCACAGACAACTATGGTGTTGAGCCTTCTTTCCTGGATCTCACAGACCTAGGCGACCCCGTCCAAGACTTTACCGTCTTCTTGGAAAGCGTTGGCCTTTCCTCGGATTGGGACTCTGGCGTATTCTCGTCGGTGGAAGAGCCTATGTTGACGGCAAATATACCAATTGACTCAAAGCCACCTATTCGCGAAAGTGCAAGACTTGGGGCAGATATGATGGGCGACCCGCGTGGCCCAGTTGATGAGCCACCGTCCTTTTCTAATTTTGGATCTCGGCTACCGTCTCTACAGCCAGAGCCGCAAGACGTTGACGATCGTCTTGTATTTGGTGATGAAGGTCCGCGTCCAGCTTGGGATATTTCGAATACAGATCGCCAAGTCTTTCTTTCAAAACTTGAGGAATTTGCTTATATTCTCCCCAAGGGCTTCATTCCACCATCGAGACATGCTCTGTCACGCTTCTTTGCTGGCTACATAAACGGACTAAATGAGCACCTCCCATTCCTCCATGTGCCGACACTCTCGGTCGCAAAATGCTCCCCTGAGCTCACTCTCGCATTAGCAGCCGCAGGATCTCATTACCGGTTTGAAAACAATCGAGGGATCGAGCTTTTCCATGCCTCGAAAGCCATTCTTCTGCAACGCCTCCAGAGAAGAGACAGCAAGCAAGTACAATGCCCTTCGTGGAATTTTGTCTCTCCACCATCCGGTTTTCACGACTCGAGGGGCTCCTCTACCGCTTCAAATAATGCCAATAGCCCGTTTCAGCAACACCACATCCCACATCCGATCGACTCGCCCTCGGGCTACGCACCCCAAGATTCGGACGCTCACATGGAAGTAATCAGGACCTTCTTGCTGCTCACAGTGTTTGCTTCTTGGGAAAGACATCCTGAACTATTGCGGGAAATTCTTTCTCTTCAGAGCACACTGGCTCGACTTATCAGAGAGCATGGACTTACTGAGCCACCCCCTAGTGCTGATCCCAACAACTGGGAAGACTGGGTACGAAGAGAAGGCAACAGGCGCACAAAGTTCATCGTATACTGCTTCTTTAACTTACACTCTATCATGTACAACATTCCCCCGTTGATCCTGAACGCAGAGTTGAAACTAAACATGCCATGCTCACACGACGTTTGGAAAGCCAACAATGCAAGCCAGTGGCGGCGGGCCATGCGTTCGCGACATGGGCCGGAAGTTTCATTCCAAGAAGCCTTCGCTAAGCTATTCGTCAAGTCCAATTTATCAAATTCATCGACACCCATATCACCGCTTGGGAATTATATTCTCATACATGCCCTTATCCAACAAATTTTCTTTGCCCGCCAGCTTTGTCTATCTGCACCAATGATGCAAGGCACTAGCCTGAGGCAGGAAGACTTGCCCACCTTGGACAATTCTTTAAGTGCTTGGAAAGCATTGTGGAAGCGCACTCCAGAATCGAGCATTGACCCTCAAAACCCGGCAGGCCCAATAGCATTCACGTCGACTGCCCTTCTTGGGCTCGCCTATATCAGGTTACACGTTGATTTAGGTCCCTGCCGCCGCCTCATTACCCAAGACCCGATTCAGATCGCCAGGGCTTTAGGTGAATCTCCGCCTGTAGCACGGAGCCCGCGCCTCATCATGGCTTTACTGCATTCTGCGCACGCACTTTCCATCCCGGTTCGCCTCGGGATAGACTTCGTAGCGCGGACCCATTCATTTTTCTGGAGTATTCAGCACTCCCTTTGTAGCCTGGAATGTGCATTTCTTCTAAGTCGTTGGTTACTTTCCATACCGGTGACGCAGGCTGAACAAAGACTGTCGGAGCATGAACGGAAGTTGCTCTTGTGGATTAAGAGTATGATGGATGAGACTGACATGGCCGTTGATCCTCCAGGCGCACCTGATGTGGAATTTCTGGCTAATCCCTACAAGGCAAAGCAACTCAGCATTGCCATTGTACGAGTATGGGCGAGGACCTTCAAAGGGAATACAAGCTGGGCGATAGTGGACCTGGTCGGGTCGAGCTTAGAAGCTTATGCAGATCTTCTGGAAACGCAGCTCTGATGATCTATCTGGCTTAGTACACGCGCTAGCCGTTCGGGAATTTTGCGTTGAAATCAAGCGTTTAGCAGGGCTGGTAGCTAATCCGCGATAGCACATGCCCTGTTAGCTACAAAACGCATGTTTCCCTGCTCCACTTGCCCATTGGCTGATGTTGTCTCTCGGTGAATACCAGCCAGTACAAGGCATCTTGTCTTCGCCAATTATACCTTCTCCTGTTCCTAACCTGGCCAGCAATAAAGGAGTTGGTGCTGCCCGAGTCAGTACCAGTGGGATATGGCAGCTTGACCCTTGTGATACTTTGGATGATATGTGATGTTATTATATACCCCTCATCACTTATTCTCTTCACCACTTAATCATGTATATAAATGTAAGCTCTCTCGTTAAAGAGGCTGAAAATGTTGCGATATGATTATTACGCTTTGACACCAATGATCTGTTTCCTTTCGCTTCCCTTTCTCCTACATTTGCCCTCAGTCGCCCTTGAGAAAGTGATGATTGCACGCTTTATGTTCTCCCTTGTTTATTTTTGCCTGCCCTTAGAGGCTTGTCTCTATCAATAATGGCGTAACGCTACGGAAGGTCTTTCAATTTGAATTAAATAGGCTTGTTATATATACTCACTAGTCTCAGCACGTATATTTTAGCGACCCGTATTCGTTGCTTCGTTATATGATCCCCTCTGATCAGTTGGATCGTCTACCATGGTCCTTTGTAACGCTCGTTGGGACAAACCGCAAAGCAGACATTGACCTCTCGAGCTGAGCTATTTCCGATTCACCCGTTTGTGGCTGAGGGACCATGTCCTGCCCAGGAACCGGTTTAGAATAAGATAGAGAGCTTTGTCGGTGTCTAAGCCGACCTTCCTGCGGGGAAGTAGGAGTTGCCGAAATTCGACGTCTGTGCGAGTTCACAGGCCGCAGCATAGAGGTCTGCTTGTCTATACCATCGTTCACTATGTAAAAATTGTAGGTCTGTGGTTCGGTCATGTCAGACACTGTACACCGACTTAGTTCCCCACGAGCAAATTACCTTGGGAAACATATGTTTATCTATCAAGTGCATCCTGCGTTTCTGCGGCGTTGAGCATTTCCGCTCGCAATCTTCAATAAAACACCCGTACTATATCCGACCGAGCATTGTGAGCCAGAGCTTTGGGCTGTAAAACGAGTTGCTCAACATCATAGAAACATACAGTCTTTTCTCCCCGGTCTTTTTTTGCGGCAATCAAAGGATCATGGTTCTCCTCGATATGCAGATTCAAGAACCGGTCAGTGGGAAAGTTCTTCCCACACGCTGTGCATCTGTTAACATGCGTTTGTTTATAATGGACTTCGTAGTCATCATATGAGGGGAACGAGAGTGTCTCCCGATGCGGCGGCAGTGAGCAATGCATTACTTCTATCCCAGAATTGGTGGTGTCGGATAGATGTTTTCTGGGTCGTTCAACAGAAGTGATGGAAGATGCCGGCGACGAGAGCCTTGAACCGGTCTCTGGAAGCTGGCCAACAGAGGAGGATCTAGAGATGCTCCGGGAGCGCTTGGACATGCTGGCTGTCTATTGCTCTTATAGTTCACTCGTCCGGTTGGGTGGATGTTATGCAAGCGTCTCCTGCAAGGCTCATTGGGTACCTATGTAAGAGATGTTCTCGCCAACTCTGCCAAGTATCTCCGTCCTAATTCGTATTGTAATTATCATAAGTTCTATTCTGGTTTGTATAAATCAAAGCTCGTATGATTTCTGGTGTCACCATTCAAGAAGGAAGAGGATCTTGATTTCATTGAAATCTCTCATCGAAACAGTGCCTGTAATGAATGAACCATTACGTTGTGTCCTGTCTTGACCTGTATTGTACTGTAATCGGTTCCTGGACACACACCAGCCACAGCCAAGCAAAGCCAATCACCGCTCCACAAAGCCACATCTCATCCGATTCAACGCCCGTCTTTTTCGGTCGCCGTCCAGAAGTTCCCGTGATATTGGGATTTTCTTTGCAACGAGCGGCTTCAACCCCTCGTCCTTCGTTCCTGCGCGTGGGAGCCTATCTTCGTTCTATTCCCATTAGGCGCCCCCATCTCGGTGCAGTCACTCACGACCTTTGCTTCCGACCAGCGCCAACCAACCCGTTCTGTATATACTACTGATGGATCGTTCACTGCTCTCGTCGCCCGCAGACTTCCAGCCAGCCATAGCCATCTGACGGGCGAAGTCAACGGTGGAGTGACAACGGGCTTCGTTTCACTCATCTTGAGCATGGCGTCCGCGTTTCAGAATACGTGGCAGTCAGTATTCTCATATATTCTTCAGAAAAGAAATGAACCCGACTTTCTGAACCGCAATGTACAGGATTGCGCTCGACATCGAAAGAGAGCTTCTGAAGAGCCTTGCCGAGAAGGAGCCTACATTTGCTGAAATCTCGCATTACCTCTCTGAGTCAGTTTATCTCCATCTAGTTACTAGATGATTCGTCTCTCGTGCGCATTATCCTAACACTCCATCGCAGACTCCGCGCAGCTTGCCAGAATGCCATCCTCCGGGACTTCGATGCCGCTCGCTCCATCGACGTGGAAAGTCGCCTTTGGGATGCACATCTCAAAATTAACAATCGGTTTCGTAAACTACTCTCTCGCGTGAGTACTCGGGCTTTGGGAATCTCTGTCGAACAGACTCATCTAACCTACCACACATGCAACTTAGTTCCGCGAGCAAAACGGAAAGAAGAAGAAACCAGTAGAGCGACGAAAGCTTGAGAAACATTATCTTGAATTTATCAAAACAAGTCAGCGGTTCTATAGAGGATACATCCAGCAATTGTCGTCGCATTTCGGGGGAATTCCGGAGCTTGAAAACGTTGCAAGAAAATTCAACTTTGACAGTGAGCAATGCCGCCCTCTCCCTCGTAAACTCCCTTACTCAGTCAAACCTTTGTATTAGATTTATCTGCGGAGGATTCCACGGTACAACCGGCTGGGGACCTTCGAACACGTATTCTGCAGTCATGTCATGCGACCCTTATCCGTCTCGGCGATCTCTCACGCTACCGCGAAACCGAACTGGTCGGCAAGGACCGAAATTGGGGCCCGGCCATAGGTTATTATGACCTTGCCACAGTAATATATCCAGCCTCTGGTGCCTCGCACAATCAATTGGCTGTCATTGCCCTCGCCGATGGTAACCACTTGCGGGCTACTTATCACCTCTACAGGGCACTAGCCGCGCAGGAACCTCATCCATCTGCTAAGGGCAACCTAGAAATTGAGTTTAGGAAGGTTAGGAACCTGTGGGCTAAAAGAGAGCTGATTCGCCCCGAGGATGCTGGTATTCCTGGTAGAGCATTGGCTCCATGGTTTGTATATCTACATGCTCAGTGTTACAAAGGCACGGATTTTCCCGAGCATGATGAGCTTGAAAATGAGGTATTGAATCAACTTGCTGTTGATTTGAAGGAGCGTTCCCTAGAGGGCACCTTACAGAAGTTCTGTCTAGTCAATATCTCTGCAGAAGATTTTTCTAGGACACGCTCCAATGGTAAGTCTCCAAGTATGACGATTGCAAGAGCCGCTTTTAACCTATGTTTCAGAAGAGTCCGTGTCAAATGCACGCCTCTTTTTCCAGCGTATCAATGTGAAAACCTTCTTTACATTACTTCAGATTCTTTTGGCTGAAGTGGAGCGGTTCGCGGTCGAAGAATCAAACAATAAAGATGGAAAGAATGGTCCTGACAAGATCACCGCTGTTGCACGACGTGTTTTGCCTGCTCTCCGAAACTACAGCTCTTGGCTACTTACAGTGAACCATCTTTTAGTGGCTCATAAAGAGGAGAAAGACACTCCTCTTTCTGTCCAAATAATAGAGTTCTGGAAAATATACGCCAACACCCTGACTCTTCTCGCATCCACGTTCGATGTAGTCCTCCTTCCGGAGATAGACTACCTTTTGGAAGAAGATGAGGAGACTCTGTGTTTTGTGCCGCTAAATAAAGAGGCTACATCGCGTAGATATTTGGATACAAGTGGTTGCCAAAAGCCTCTGATGAATGATCTAGGAGTGGAGAGAAATCACCCAAACATGGAGATGCTTTATCGAATTCGAGAATTCGTAATCGATGGGTTAGATATGGTTGTGAGCAATGTATGCAGCAATATGCTCCCTCTGTCTATTAGAATCGGCTGCTAATACGTTCTCTACCTTCAGAAAATTCCCATAGCTCTAGTCGACGATGGTGACAAAAAAACATTCATTTACAAGGAAGAAGGGCTTCCGTCTCAATTCTTTGCCAGCCCCTCAGGCCATCACCATACGGTTTCCTCGGCGAGTATTGAACGGGAGGACATTCAACGAACAACACAAGATCCAACTTCCGGTACCGATTCCAAAAGTGTTTTTGGGGGTTCTCAGTCAGCGTCAATGTCAGCCAGTATGCACCGCATTGTTGAAGGTGTGGAGCGCTTGGTTGAGTCGGACTGCTATGAAAATACCCCAGCGTTGCCGGAGCATCTCGTCTTTCCACGGAACAACGAGCAACCCAGCTCCAACCATATCTTCAATCCTAGTGCGGACTCAATATTCCGGGAAGAGAGCATTCCTGTTCGTCAGACCCCCATCGCTCCACCCGGGCTTGGTCACTCAATGGCAAATGCTGCTGCTCTAGTCAGGGTCCCATCATCACAGTCATACGCACCGCGACCCTCCCTCCCTGGTATCCCTAGCATATGGAACATGGGCCTCTCACCAGAAGTTGGCGATGCAACTTCTCCCAGGACTCCACCAGGTCTTGGGAAACACCCAATTCAACATTCCGGTCATTTGATACCAGGAAGCATCAGTAACCCAAGCCATCACCTATCCCAGGACTCAGCTGTGAACGATCTCATACTTCGTCAGAGTCTAATGCACCAATCTCAGCTGCAAAATCCTCTGAATGGATCCAGTTCCATGTCCTCGTGGATACCCTCGTCAAACCCCACCTCGCACCACCGTCTTTCTGGCTTGGGGTGGGACAACAGAGGGCTACTGGATGCTGCAAGCTCTCCGCCACCCCTCGGTGCACCCAGCCAGCCCATTTCAAGTGGCTTGGCAAATACCTCGTGGGCAAATGATGCGTTCCTCGCTAACACGCTCTCCTCAGGCGCGGGTTACCCCAGCTCTGGATTTGGCGGCAGTCGCAAATCTGCCACCCAGTACGGTGCTATTGGCCAAACACCTCCCTGTGGACATGGAGGGTGACACCGATCTCTTGATGGTCTGAGTATGGGGAACAAGTCTCCGAGAGTCTTTTGAGACAGAGGCATACGCGCAGGAAACGCGGGTGCGAGCTTTGGTACCCTGGCTCCGATTTGTGAGCGTCGGAAGTGCAGTGGCGAGATTATGCAGCATCTCCCTTTGCTCCCATCCGTTAGTCCAGTTCATAGCATATCAAATCCTGCTTTTCGTATGCAGGCTTGTGCACTATCACATTTCCCGCGTGGGCTCATTAGCCGTGCTGTTGTTAGACCACTGGTATTAAAGATACAGTCATGTTCACTAGAGAAATATTGGGGATAGGCTGTATTCAATAAGCGCTCTACAACTTATTCGCGAAGTCGGAAAGGAGACCATATATTGCAGATTCATGGGTTCGTGAAATCGCCTTCTGGTCATAGGGGTGAAGAGTCGGGATATGGATTACGAGCCAAATTATCAGTTCCCAGATTCATTTGGATTATCTCTTTCTTTTTAGCTGTCAGAGAGCTGTACCAATGAGACTATTCATTAGAAACGATATCTCGAGACTTGGTGTCCAGTCTTGCGAGCTGAATTCAAGCATAGATCGTTGAAGATGGTAATAGATTTATTTATATGTATACCGAACCGAATGTGCGGATCATTAACTCGTTGTTGAGAACGTCATCTCTGCAACTCCTGTCTATCACGTAAAATCATCAGGTAATGGGAGCGCAACTCTCAAGAAGATGTTGATGGAAAGAAGTCTAAGACGTTAAGTCAAAAGACAGGTGGGTATTAGAAGGTTGAATCCTAAAGAGAAAGAGAGTTCTTTGTCGCTGCATGCTATCCTTGCAGCGCTGTTCAAGTGTTATAGATAGAAAGGTGAATAGTTTACGACCGGTTGGTGGGAGCGTAGGCCTTTTTGGGGAAGGGGAAACTAAATCATTATGTCAGACAGCCATATTCTCAGAAAGGTGACGTGCAATCCGCCGAATGTACTAGCCAGTAATTGACGTCCGCTAGTGTTGGTGAAAAGCATTGGCTCGCAAAGGGTGATAAGGGAATTACTTACGAAGGTCCCAACTCTTGAATGCTAAGGCTGGCGAGCCACTGGCCCATGTCCATGCTCTCTTCAAGAGACTTGCCTTGCACAACACCAGCACAGAAACCACCAGCGAAGGCATCACTGTAAGATACATCAGTCATGCGTATGTTTTCAATGGAAAAAGGCCCACTTACCCAGCACCGTTGGTGTCATTGATGCGGTCCTTAGCAATCTCAACGACGCTGAACTGCTTAACCTCAACTTCGCCGTTGGAGTTAAAGGTAGCAGCTACAGTAGGCAGAGTACCCTGAGTCACAATGGCGACTCTTGGGCGGTTGGTGTTCTTCTTGGGCAGCTGAGCCAATTTCTTGGCGATCTCAACGACATCATCCGTACCCCATTGGTGGCTCTTAGAGTAAGCACGAGCCTCAGTCTCATTGCAGAAGGTGTAGTCGGTGTAGGGCAGCACACTGTCGAGCTGGTCCTTGAAGAACTCAGGGATGAAAGGGGCCGAAAGAGAGAGCATGAAGATCTGAAAGAGCGCACATTTAGTACTAATCCATTGAAAAGGAACATTTGCATAGGGTGAATTCCGTAAGTCGTCACAAATGCATACCTTGTTCTTTGCAGCAGCCTCTTCGCCAAGAGCCTGGATAGCGGGCACACACACAGTAAGGTGATAGCCACCAACGTAGTACACCTGAGCCTTCTCAACAAGAGACCAAATTTGAGGCTGCTTAAGGTGCTCAAGCTTGTATTCATTAGCCGCAGCAAGGTGGGTGCACATGCTACGGTTGTGGCCAGTGATGATCACGCCGCACTTGCCGGTAGGCTGGGCATCATCCACACGGTACTCGGTGTGCACACCAGCCTTGGTGCAAGTCTCCTTCAGGATATCGGCATACTTATCACGGCCGACACATCCAATGTAGAGAACAGAGTTGTCGGGGAGAATGTACTAATGGGTGACATTATAGTTAATATACGGGGTATCAAAAACAAAAAAAGAAAAACAAAAAAAAGAAAAAAAGAAGAAGAAAAGAAGAAGAAATAAGAAGAGAGAGAGAGAGATTCCAAATATAGTTCAAACCATACCTGAGCGCCACGGGCAGTGTTCTGGGCGGCACCGCCGGCAATCAACTTAGCATCATGATTCTGCAGCAGCTCCTCATAGAGTCCCATGTGCGTCTCCTCAGCGAGAATAGCATCGTTGTCCTTCAGACCATACTTCTGGAGAAGAGCAGCATCACTATATGATGCTGTATCAGTACTTGTACTATATTTCAACAATATTTTCACTGGCCGAGATCTGTAACATACCCAACAGCTTGGATATCTGTATATTACAATCGGAAAAATCCTTGCATTAGCATTGCCCCCAAATCACAAATTTCACAGTTTCTATCAAACCAGGTAGGATAATAGTCCTCACGTACCGAGGAGAGGGTTCTCCAAGCAAAGAAAAGGGTATCCTTGAGCGGCAGCCATTGTCGTTTATGTCAACTGGGGAAAGTGCCTGTAAAGAAAGGATGAGTGGAAGAGACGGGTGGAGAAGAAATAAAAAGGTCAAGAAAGAAAATCTCTAGGGGGAGGGAGAAGAGGAGAAGGTGAGGGTGAGAATGCAAGAAAAGGTGGGGGATGATGGTCCGGAGGGGCAGCAACAGAAAGAAGATCTGGATCATATGCCGTACCGTACTGTACGGAGCGTATTGCATCGCATCAGCAGAGTGAAGTCCCCGATGTCCGTCTACAACTCTCCATACTGCAAACGCCTCTTTTCCTGTCATCATCACATAACTTACAGTATTCGCCTTCCACAATGACTGATCCAGCCTTAGGCATCGCTGAGGCCATTCAAACGGCCTCCATCAACCCGGAACCATCCCCTAGTCATGACATCAACCCTCCGACCGCATCTTCGGAGAAGCCTGTCGTTGAAGATGCGCCATCCGAGGCTGGCAGCATCCCATCCGACGTCGTGGACCCCCATCGAATGATCAGACCCGCTCCAAGACGGCATAATCTTCCTCCAATGCCTGATTTGCGCTTCGAACAAAGCTATCTGGCCAGCATACGTGGTGCTGAGACTTGGGGTCGTGTTGCATGGATCACCGTTCGAGATCAGGTATGACCTCCCCATCCAACCTACTATTAAAATAAATACAAAATAAAATAAAATGAAATGAAATGAAATGAAAGATCTCATAAAACTCAAGGCTCATGCACCTATGTTCTTTTTTAGGTTCTTCTCCCTCTGATCCAAGGTACCCTTTGGACCCTCGCTCTCTCCGGTTGGCGATTCTGGAACCGCAACGCGTCTCTCAGTGGCCAAACATTGGGCAGCAGAATTCGACGATGGTGGTACGAAGTAAATAACTGGAAGCTCCCTCCCCTCCCGTCAATGAAGGACCGTAAGCTTGCTGCGCAGGCAGAAGACGTGAGTGACTCCCTGCCCTATTCATGTTATCTGATAGTGTAGCTGTGTTCGCCTCGGGTAACGTAGCTATTCTGATTGAGGCTGACATTCTCGGAGTTTTTACAGTTCTATAAGACTCAGTTCTCAAACGCCGGTAACTGATTAAAATAAAGTGCGATTTTCCCGTATTTTGGTTGCATTTTGGGAGTTCAGGTCACGGCGTTACGAATATAGACCACTTCGATGGTCTATCTGTATCTTATGTTTCTTAAGCCCACGGGTGCACATTTATGCACAGTTGGTTAAACTCTTGTAGACATTTCAATGGAGCTCTTCTCTTAGTAAAGATATTATCGTAGGACATTCATATAAAGGCAAGCTTGCTATCTAGAAGTCGCGAAAACTCACGACGTACTTGCAAGCTAGCACGGACTTTTCCTCTGAGACTAACCAGACAGATTACCACCACATAAACGCCTTAGGAGACTTCATTGTCTTGCCCGCGTGTACAATAGAACCTGAGTGGGAAGACACGCTCCAGCATGAACTCTATCAATATAGCCGCTCATTCAACGCCTGGGCGTACATGGCTTCAAATGCTTTGAACCCCCTCATTTGAACCAGCAGCAGGCGCCGGTTGACAGGGATGCGACCCGGTGCTCATAGTGACCCGAACAGCTTCAGCACCTCCTTCGGGCTGGCCGTTTGCCTCATTTCGGAGGTCAGTCTTTTTCCCCTGAGGTTCATCCTCCCCTGTCGTAGAAACGGTTGGCTTCGTTGCGTCTGAGGATGGTATATATTCCGGAGGCGCAGGTTCAGTCGCTATTTCCAGTTTGCTCCCCACGCTCCCCCCTGATAGCATGTCACTAGGGCCATTTGGGCTGCTCGGCACCTTACCCTTACCGTATCTGAGCTGCACAACCAGGCTCGGGTTTTCTCCGTTCACTATCGACTCGTCACCACTCAACTCTTCTTCATCGTCGCCTTCGAAATCGTTATCTTCTTCCTCCTCTCCGCCCCGCCACTCCTTTCCGCTGGAGTGTCCCTCATCAGATTCATCCATTTCATCATCCACGTTGTAGCCGGTATACCCATTTGCTCGGGTAGACCGTATCCTCTGAGGCCTCCCCGAGTCGTCTGCATCAGCTTGCTCATCACGCTGGCCACTAAGCAAGCTTTCTCCATACAGTCCTCCTGCGCGCGAACGTATCTGCCTTCCACTGGCTGTAAACCTGGGACCCACAGGTTCTGCGGGTGAAGAAATGCCTGAGGTATTGCGTGTGGATCGTCGAGTCGAAGGCAAGCCATCGGAGAAGATATCCTCATCGTCAGAGTATGTGTACTTCAGTTTCTTTCCACGGGTACGGCCTTCATAAAGGGAAAATCCAGGCTCGGGCCTAGAAAATTGTGCTTTACGCGCAATGCGGTAGTCTCTGCGTTTACGTTTCTTACAACTAATGAGCAAGGGTAAGACAACAGCGGAGGATCATAACTTACCTCTTCCGATCCCTCGAAGCGAGGAACTGAATTCTTGATCTTCTCACTGAGCTTCTTCGAATGCGTGCTTTTCTCCTCGTCTAGCTTGTCCGCAACGGCCTTCAACTCGGGGATTGTTCCTGCCACGCTCCACCAAGTGACATTCTTGAGCGCTGGGTTGCTCTCACGGTACAACCTAAAGTGGGTGTCATCTAAGCCTTCAACAAGCCAATATCGACGTTTCAAGCCATCGCGACCCCATGGTTGAACGGAAAGTGGTTGGTTCAGGTCGTCTTCATGTCGTGCTTGCTTATATGACTCTTTGATCTTTGCTTGAACCGCTTCGGAGGAGGAAAGGGACCAGAGGATCAGCGATTTCAGTAATTGTAACTAAAGCGTGTTAGCTATCCAGTGCATTTCATGAAAGTTGCGCAGAACGTACGCGTTCTTCTAGGGCCATTCCTGTGAAAGTGCGACCCCCGTGAAGAGGGTTCTTTCCCCGCCAAGCCTTGGGCCACTGGGACACATGTGTTTGGATCGCTTCTTCCAGAGGGCGTGTGTAATGAAGTCGACTGCGCATTTATGATAGCTAGTCAGCCTTTTGTCATTATCCTTGAACATCCTGGTTGTAGATAAATGGGAGCTCGCATGCGCCCTTCGTAGTGTAGTGGGAACTGCGTGATAGGTGGTATCCATACTCCACGTCCTTCTTCCTGTTTAACACCAGGCCAAGCAATGCACACAGCAACCTCTCAATGTGCTCCCCGGGAGGCGAGTCTGCAACGCCTCTCTCAATGTCTTGTGGTCCGTAATGTGGCGTCGATCGTGGGAAGACATCATGAAAACGCGCGCGGAACATTACAATGAACTTTTGGTTGCGACTAGTCAGCAAACATGTTCGCAAGTCCATATACGCGTCATATAAACGTGTGGGGTTTTATACGATTGGCAATTGATGGAGAACTCACTGCAATGTCCGGATTATCTGCTAAAACATATTCATGTGGTGGTGAAGGTGCCCGTTTCGGCGGCGGAGATTCTGATTCCTTCTTGAAGTACTTGGTGATGCCCACAGGCTCATCAACTGCCATGGGAGCAGATTCATCATCCGATGGTGGCGCTGATGATAGCGACGAGATATCTGAGTCAGAAAGTGACATGTTAGACATGTTTGCTGAAGTTGGAAGTGGTTGTGTTGAAATGGAACGGTGGGCGAGTGCGCGCCGCAAGAAGTTCTACTGCACTACTACTGCCGATTAATGGAGCGCGGCTTTTACGCGCCTGGCCTGTCTGGCGTCATCAATGGCCGCCAATATAAAGGTATGCTCACAACCCGATCACAGCAATGTATTCTCTAACATTCAATTTTATTCTGGGCTACATCTAGAGTACTGAACAGGGGATTGAGCATTGATGACCTCATAATGCGAACCTGAGACGCTATATGAGACAGCGTATGATCATTTCATAGAGAACTATGGAGGACCAAATGACGAACCAGTTTTTTTTTTTTTTTGAAACAGAGCTAACAACGAGCGATCCCATTGAGAACTTGTCATCTAACGTTAGTTTACTCCGTACAGAAGGCTGGACAATGAACACGGCGCTAGTTCCTTACTGTGGCCGGGATATGCCGAGGAAGGATCAAAGCGATTACCACGAGTGATATATCAGATTCATTGATCCACTCGTTCAATAGCTTTTTCTTCCTATGCAGCGGATGCCAGTGTAGGATTGATTCAAGCAACCACTGTTGCAGTGTCTCGGGCATCATCAGACAACTTTCCGCGTTGTGGTAGCTTTGAACCAAGGCTGCGTGGTACTCCAAACTCGGGAATGGTATTCTTTCACAACCTCTCAGACTGTTGAGGGGTATATTGCTTTTGTCAAACCATAGTTATCGATTTAGACTTCACTTAGTCATGCATGAAGCAATAAAAGTCGGGACCATTAATGCAGTCAAACAGAAATACTACCCAGCAATGTCAATCGATGACAGGAATCCTGAACCACCGTAGATAGAGCCATCATCAAAAGACTGTTTCACCGCGAGATACTCGTAGAGGTAGGTATGTGATTGGCGGAGGTCGTGGATTGCAACACGCTTAGTGGTTACCGAGTGCAGCTGACAGAGTAGCCAAACAAGATCAAATTAAGAAATTGGAGGCCTAGCCTTTGACTGGAATATTGGATTGTGTACCAGTTGCGCTTGTCAAACAAGTCAACCACCTAGGTGGTCGCATGAACTGTTACTCCGTCAGGGTGCTCGGTTCTTCTTAAAGTCCATGGTTAATGTGACGGTTAGCCGCGCCGCCAAACCCACAGCCGCGCGAGAGAGACGCACGGCGACACTAGTCCCAGCTCGGTTAGATTAGCGACCGCGCCCTAAAGCCCACACAGCCCTTCCGCCGACGAATTCTCACCACCAACCCGACAAGCCCATCTTCGATTTGAGGTACGAGCACTTGATAAACTCCCACACCGGGTCGCAGGGGTCTTTCTTCTTGTATACTAACCTCCAGGTCTCTATCTAGAAAGTCGCCATGGGTCGCGTGATCCGCAACCAGAGGAAGGGTCGTGGATCCATTTTCAGTGAGTGCGACCGCAGAGTTCTGAGCGAATTCCCCAAGATCAAAATTGCTGATAACAACTTCGCCTCCAGCGGCCAACACCCGTCTCAACAAGACCCCTGCTCAGTTCCGTGTCCTTGACTTCGCTGAGCGCCATGGATACACCCGGGGTGTTGTGAAGGAGATCATCCACGACCCCGGCCGTGGTGCTCCTCTCGCTAAGGTCCAGTTCCGTCACCCTTACAAGTTCAAGCACGTTACCGAGACCTTCATCGCCAACGAGGGCATGTACACTGGCCAGTTCATCTACGCCGGAAAGAACGCCGCCCTGACCGTTGGCAACGTCCTCCCTCTTTCCTCCGTCCCTGAGGGTACCGTCGTCACCAACGTCGAGGAGAAGTCTGGTGACCGTGGTGCTCTTGGTCGTACCTCCGGTAACTACGTTACCGTCATTGGCCACAACCCTGAGGATGGCAAGACCAGAATCAAGCTTCCCAGCGGTGCCAAGAAGGTTGTGAAGAGCACCTCTCGTGGTATGGTCGGTATCGTTGCTGGTGGTGGTCGTACCGACAAGCCTTTGCTCAGTATGTCTTTGATCCTGTTAATTACCTCGATTTTGCCAAAAAAAATTGGGGTAAATAGGAATGGAATGCTAATATCACATTACAGAGGCTTCTCGTGCCAAGCACAAGTTCGCTGTCAAGCGCAACTCCTGGCCCAAGACTCGTGGTGTTGCCATGAACCCCGTTGATCACGTAAGGAATCCTTGTCTTCTGCTTGTAAAACATTATTCTCTGACCTATTTGTTTTATAGCCTCACGGTGGTGGTAACCACCAGCACATTGGTAAGGCTTCTACCATCTCCCGCTACGCCGCCCACGGTCAAAAAGCCGGTCTTATCGCTGCCCGGAGAACTGGTCTGCTCCGTGGTACCCAGAAGACCAAGGACTAAGGGTTTTCTGGTGTGGAGTTTTTTTGTTTGTGACGGGTTCAAAATGCTCTTTTGCTATGAGGCACATGTACTTAGGCGACTGCGGATAACCTACCACGCGTCCTTAGCGAAATAAGGTTGTGGCCAACAATTTCATTGATGATTAAAACAAAAAGAGGGGGCAGAAGTCGAGTCTCTATGTGCATCTCATGCCTTTTTCCAAAAACAGATTATGAATACTCGTTAATACCAAAAAATGAAGAATATTTCCTTGTTTGTTCATGGCGGACTGATTGCTTACTCTGTATACTTTGTCCAATCCTTGTAGGTTTCATATACCCGCCAGCCTAGTGCTCCACTTTGTTGGATCTGTCATCAGTTTATCTGAGAGCACTAGGTACGATCCACTTGTTGCGCTTCTACTATGTAGTTCATGTTGTTCCATGATTGCTGTGTTCGAGATTCAATTAGGTGCATCCATGGTATGGCCTTGGCACTGCTATTACGGAGTAGTTATTCATGGGGTAATGATACAGCAAGTCGTGGGGTCTCTGCATTCCGGATTGTATATAACTTCGCATTGGTCTTTAGCACTTGCGTGTCGAATGAGTACCTCGGTATATCCAATGGCTAAAAGCGTGCTTATATATATACACTACATATATTATTATGGCTCGACCAATTCTTGTTATCTCGTTGGAATGTACAGAGTATTCCCTTGACATAAAGAAGCCGACATCTGTAGCAATGTTACCCCTCCCGCCGTAGCTGAAGAAAATCAATATAAAATACCTTGTAACCCAGAAACCAATCGATAAAGTACCTTGAGGCGTCGGCTATACTCAGTATGGCGGATGGTTTGTACGCCCGAAGCTTTCTTGAGGCAAAAAAGGATTGATATTAAATTGACCAATCAGCGGCGCCATATGGATGTCACTTCATAAACCAAGCGTACTCCGTACCTCCCCAGAGACAGACTTTTTTTCGAACAAATGTCCTCCATGAATTGTCTCATCCTCCCATAAACCTAGACAGGGCCATATAACACATTATACGTGATGAATCAGGAGAGTCTACCCCTAAAGCTACCTCGTCTACCCGCTTGTGCCTCGCCGACCCTGTCCGCCACTGCCCGCTGGCAGGCAGTGGTCCGCCGAGATTCCACGGCCGAATCATTTGTGTACGCTGTGTTAACGACCAAAATATATTGCCGGCCATCATGTCCAGCTCGCCTCGCCCGGCGAGCAAATGTCCGATTCTACGACACGCCCTCGCAGGCCGAAAACGCAGGTTTCAGACCCTGTAAGCGCTGCAAACCACAATCCCTGCTGGCGGGTAATCCTCAGGTTCAAGTGATACAAAGGGCATGTAAGACCATCCAGTCAGAGATAGCGACCGGCTCCAAACCGACACTGCGGGAGCTTGCTAGTCAGGCATGCCTCACACCAAGTCACTTCCATCGGGTGTTCAAAAAGCTCGTGGGCGTCACGCCCGGGCAGTATGCTGTTGCAATTCTCAAGGGCCCCTCTTTGGGTCCCCTGGATGACTGCAGCCGAAATACAAATATTACGGAGTTGAAATCATGCGGTGTTGGCCCTGATGACCATGAGCCTTTCTTATCCAGCGGCTTGGAGAGTGATGATGTGTTTGATCCTGGAGATACTATAAACTGGAATGATTTTGATACTTTGATAGCGGCGGAGGCTGAGTATGTGTCTGAATTTGATGTACAATATATGGACGACTTCATCTCATTACCCAAGGAAGATGCCGCTGGTGCCGGTGAACACCAAGGCCAAGATATTGGTGATGCCCTATTGCAACACGAACAAACGAGTCGCCTAGACGGCGGCATTCACCTCGCAGGTGTGGAAACTGTCATGTCATCCTGAATTAGTGGCTTGCTTCTTGACGGGCAGGGCTCTCATGAGATACTGGATAACTCCTGCATAGGGAGCCCGCTTGGCGCAACCAGGACGGCGGTTAGGCCATGTTCGTTCTGCCGAATACCTGTCCATTGATCCGTGGAAAAGGAGAAAGACTGAAGTAGGAGGAGAACAGATGTACTAAATAACCTGGATTTAGTATGGGCTAATCGCTCCACCCACTCTCCCAGGTGTCCTCAGGAGTCAGACGGTCAACCTGAAGTCGATGGGTAGAGCTGGGCCACCATGGTGTCAGTGCTTCTGGAGAACTGATATGCTTCGCCGATCATCAACCCCGACATGTACATTACAGGCGAATTGCAGGTTGTATTGAAAAGTATGGAGTTTGTGTACTGTGTATTGAGATGAAATCTACCCACTCAAATACGGAGTAGTTCGCCTTGTTTATTACTTTTGCACTATGATCTGCAAGTGTAACCCACCAGGGCTTCTAGACTTCTTCCCAGAAGAACATCAAATGGAGTTTCATGTATAGAGAGGTTCTGCAGAAACACCAGAGATTCTGCACTGTTCCGAAAATAGTTCAGTGGCAACATGGTTGAAGCCTGGCCCTCTCAGCAGATTCTACGCAGTACTGTGTACCCGACATCTCCACTCCTTGCCCCACAAAAACGCGTGTCACTTGTTGCAGTTGAATAAAACTGGCCTATGAGGCTTCATTGTGTGATACACTCTAGTCGCAGATACTATGTAATAATAGACTTCAAACCATCCATCCAACAGGCTAAGGTTTCAGGTACACCAAACTTTCCTCGCCAGATACATGAACATTGAAGCTAAACAATTGGCGCCAATCATACGGACAAACGTCCCCACCTTTAATAACAATAAGAGACTATGTAATTTATTAGTATACAAGAGTCACTTACCATGTTATTTTACCCTCAAGGGTCTAGACATACGAGTACGAGGGAACCCCGGTGGAGACTGAAAGGTATTGTACGGTAAAGGCAAAGCCAACCTAATGTGATCCATGTGGCGTTTCTGCTCCCTCGGATTCACCATGATTATTTGCATTGTTGTCCTCGATCAAGGGTAAAAAAAAAAACGATTTCTTTGTAATTTGTCGGTGGTGAACTGAAACAAATAGAGGATTCAAAATCGATCAAACTAAAAATAAATTACCGCCATTGAATCATGAGAGTCATAACTGGTAAAATAGTAGTATTAACATTCCATCGGTCTTTAATACCTGCGCATCACCCACTTGGTGTTTCGCAACCTTTCTGTCCACCTTCCACTTCCCCCCCTTCCCCCTCTGTCTCCCTTCCCCTTTCTTCTACTACAGGCCAAGTCTTTGTGCACCGATTGAACCCTGCTATATTCTCTTCACTATTCTACTCATAGATCACCTCAGGGAAGATCGTTTTCAACGTCTCGTGCCCATCTGCGCTCGGCCGGTCTTTTTTTTTTCTCTTTTCTCTTTTCTTTTCTTTCTGCCAATCTGCTGGCCAGATCAATCTAGCTTTATCTCCAATTCTTTTAAGCCTCTCTTCCAATCGTCTAATCCTATCACCTACTATATTCGGTCACCATGAACGTCAACAGGAAGTTTGATCGCTTCAAGCAATGGGCGGGGGAGAGGATGGGTGGTGAGGTCAAAACCAATCTCTCGGATGATTTCAAAGCCATGGAGACAGAAATGGGCGTGCGGAACGAGGGTGAGTCCGCCGATATATACCGACGGCGAAAGGATTCGTTAAATGGCTGACTTTTCGACAAGGTCTTGATCGCCTTCATAAGTCCATGATTGCCTACGTCAAAGCCGTCTCGAAGCGCAGCGAAGGCGATGACAAAGAGAAGACATTGCCAATCGGTCATTTGGGCACTAGCATGGTCAGCCATGGCGAGGACTATGACGCCAATTCCGAATACGGTCGTTGCCTAACAAGTACGTTATCGCTCGTGACCTTCCTCGATCTACCGGAAATCCACGTGTCTAACAATTTTATTTCTATTGCACAGAGTTCGGACGGACAGAGGAGCGCATTGCTCGCCTCCAGGAGTCGTATATCGCAGAGGCAAACTCAAGCTGGCTTGAGTCCCTGGACCGGTCCTTGGCGCAGATGAAACAGTACCAGGTAAATTCCTCACTCTTTTTTTTTTAGATATCACCACGACATGTCTAATATATTATATAGAATGCTCGTAGGAAACTCGACAGCCGGCGGTTGGCTTTTGACACTTCGCTGTCCAAAATGCAGAAGGCAAAGAAGGAGGACTTTCGCGCAGAGGAAGAACTTCGAACCCAGAAGGCTAAATATGAGGAGGCCAACGATGATGTATACCGGCGGATGCAGGACATCAAAGAAGGCGAAGTAGAGAGCATTGCAGATTTGGAAACATTTTTGGAAGCGCAATTGAACTACCACGAGAAGTGCAGAGAAGTGCTTCTCCAACTCAAGAATGAATGGCCTGGCCGGTGAGTAACTGTCCACGCAAGAAAACGTCTCTCAGTTGTGTTAATTATTCTATGACAGGCAATCACAGATACAAAGCTCGACTGGTCGGCGCCCTGGTCGTGCCCGTGCTAGCACAGCCCATTCGTATCAGGAGCGCTACGAACCCCTGCATGAGGAACTTAGTAACTCGGCAGATCTGCGCCCCATTATTCGGTCAAGCAGGTCTCCGTCCGATGTGGGGGACCCGAGAGAAGTCTATGTCCCGGAGCCTGTACCGCAGAGACCTTTCCTCAATAGGACTTCGACGTTTGAAAGTCCAGCACAATTACGACAGGAACAAGCGTATAGCCCAAGTCCTCGGCCATATAGAGTGCCTAGCGAGAATTTTATTACCGGCAGAAACAGCCTCCTGACTCGGATGGCCGCCGATCCGTCTGAGGACACCAGCCCGCGATCTGGCACTAGCCCCGATAGAATGTACCAGGGACGATCTGATTCCCCAGTATCATCATTCGGGGGTGTTACGAGAAGAAGCAGTTCGACTACATTGAACGGGGCTGCGGTACAGAAAAAAGCACCTCCACCCCCTCCACCTTCGCGTGCGAAGAAGCCGCCACCGCCGCCGCCTATGAAGAAACCTATACTCAGTGCTGGCGAGGCATAGGGCCGTCTCACATTAATCATCCCTATGACTTCTGGGGGGTTGCGGGGGATATATCGCAATGGAGTGTCACGGCATTTCATCATGTGAGGCTTTTGAGATCATGGGTGCCATCCGCTTGCCTGCGGTGAGTGGCAGTAGATGACCAGTTTACTATTCGTGATAGTCATTGGCATGTAGTAGTATACGGCGGCATTTGTATTTGTATTTGTGCAGAGATGCTCTCAAGAAGCCTTTGTTTATATTCAGGATAAACTATATTCTCTATTTGGTGCATAAATGTCTTCAGCGTATATACCGGATTGTCGGTGCCAACCATGTCGAAGCTTTAGTATATAAATGTGAGGAGGTAACAATATGATGTAAAGGGAGAGTTGAATCCATCTGGGATCTAGTGGGATCAGAAAGAGTGATATATACTAGTATATTTCTCTGTTGGTATCGTTATCAGTTCACCCCAAGGACCCGACATCACAGCTTAGCTTGCATTGAATTCCTCTGGATAACTAGTTAATCTACGAGTTAGCTGCTCACCCGTGAGCTCGTTTGATAGCCATTCGGTTCAGTTGGTAATGGAGTGTTGTAGATGTGGTTGGACTAGCATAGAAAAGAATTCAAATGGAAGTCTCACTTTATATATAATCTGCGTTACGCCCGCAGCTGAAGTACTCTGAAATTGAGCCAAGAAGCCCATTTAGCAAGTATACCAAGGGATGAACATGTAATATAAATACACGACTTTATTCCCGTATAGAATTGTTTTATTGCTGGTCTTGCTAATACCTAAGCCATCTCTGTTAGCTTGATATGTTTGTTGTTAGGTACGTGATGAACTAGTCCAAACTAAGGATAGCTGAAGCTCAAACCAGCAACTAACCGGCGCCTTCCTATTTGCCTCCTCAAAACCCGAATACGACCCGGCGGACGGATGAGTCAGCACGACATCACGTGCGGGCGGCACGAAATCTTCTTCCAACGTCTCGCCGCCTACCTCTCCTCGTTACAGGCAAAGGCTGAGCACAGCCAGTTTCCCCGACCAGCACGGAAAGTCGCGAAAGCCCCGTCCCCTCCATCTCCATTTCATCCATACAGGCCTTCCACGCGCCCTTTTCAGCGCGACCCCTCCATTTGGGGTCTCCATCACCCATTTAGCATCGCGTTGGGCAACTCCCCCTTCCCTTATTACTGATTCTTTCCGATCGGTCGCCTACCGCCCTGTATCTTCCCATCCCAAAACATCACGAAACTTGTCGCCAAGGTCCAGATACAGGCCGCTATCAGTCGCATCCATCGATACAAGGTTCCCGCTCCTCCTCCACGTCTCTAAATTGGCGCGCTTCATCGCCCTATAGCTGCGAATTATCGTTCACTATCACTACCCTCGCTTTCCACGTGTTACCTAGCTGCTTGGTCGCGGATCTTGTCGCATCTAGGTCAACCCCAACGTGTTTACTCCGCCTATGAACAGTAAAACTACGCGCTAAAACATGGCTTCCCTTCAGTCAGCACCAAACATGGCGACTGGGAACATGAGCCTGCCGCCAAATTTGACGCAGCAGCATATTCAAGAGGTTTTTCAGGTACGTTGTCTTGTCAATCCTTCGCGCTAGGCTCCTACCCCCTACTTCTCGTTTTGTTTTCTTCTTTCCCCCCCCTTATCAATTGTTTGGCAATGCCTACTTCAATTGATCCCTCTGACATTCGCATAGAAGTACAAGCAGATGCAAGAGCAAGGTGTCCGTCATGATGACCCCGAGTTCTTGAAAGCCCAGCACCTTCTTTCGGCCGTTCAGCGACAGCAGTTTTTCCAGAAGCAGAGACAAGTCGCACAACAGCAGCTTCAGGCACAACAGCGTCAGCAAATGAATGGTACCGGTCCAGACTCCGTGGCCGCCAATGGTGTGAATGGTAAGCCCGCCGCTCCTAAGTCTTTATCCGTGCACTGGCTCGAATCACAGTCTAACCTTGTCATTGGCAACGCAGGTCGAACGAACTCAGTGTCTTCTGGTACCAGCGCCGTTCAGGATGGCACTTCTACCCAAGCAGGTAGTCAGCAGCAAGCTCTAGGGCAGGCTGCCTCTCAGAAAGGAGCACCTGTTGCTAGTGGTAGTTTTTCAGCTGAGCAGCTGGCTACGCTTAGAAATCAGATCGTCGCTTTCAAGTGGCTGTCGAAGAATCTCTCAATCCCAGCCCGTGTCCAGGAACAGCTGTTCGCATCTAAGAAACAGCAAACTCCCGCGCCCTCAGACAATGTGACGGCAGCAGAGAACGTCCTGGAAAGTGTATCTCAAAACAAGACCGAACAGCTTGCTAGTACGACGGAGACTTCCCCCCAATCCAAAGATTTCTATGAAACATTTCAATCGCCTTATGATTCAGTTCCCAAAACCATTAGCTTTTCCGACCACGCTTCCCGCGCATATCGTACGCGCATCCCTGCCTTGATGCCACCTGGTATTGATTTGGAACAGGTGCGCGAGGAAAGAGAGCTGGTTCTGTATAATAAGATCAACGCCCGGAAAGCGGAATTGGCTGAGCTGCCTGCTAATATCGGCGTATGGGATACAAGCCGGAGCGATACCGCAACAGGTGATGATTCGTTGAAGTTGAAGGCCCTAATTGAATACAAGATGCTCAATCTCCTTCCTAAGCAACGGATGTTCCGAAAACAAATACAGAACGAGATGTTTCACTTCGATAATCTAGGAATGACCGCGAACCGCTCTAATCATCGCCGTATGAAGAAGCAGTCATTGCGCGAGGCTAGAATTACTGAGAAGTTAGAGAAACAACAGCGCGATGCTCGTGAGACCAGGGAGAAGAGGAAGCAATACGATCAACTCCAAGCCATCCTTAACCACGGTGCTGAGCTTCAGAATGCTGCAAATCAACAGCGCACCCGTATGCAGAAATTGGGTCGTATGATGCTTCAACACCACCAGCACATGGAGCGTGAGGAGCAGAAGCGTGTCGAGCGAACTGCCAAGCAACGTCTCCAGGCTCTTAAGGCTAACGATGAGGAGACCTACTTGAAACTTTTGGGACAGGCCAAAGATTCACGTATCTCTCACCTACTCAAACAGACCGACAATTTTCTTAAACAGCTTGCCGCTTCGGTTAGAGAACAGCAACGTAGCCTGGCCGAACGATATGGCGAGGATGATCAGTTCTACGACGAAGAAGAAGAAGAGGAAGAAGACGTTGGGTCCGGAACTGACGACGAAGCTGGCGGAAGACGCAAAATTGATTACTATGCTGTCGCCCATAGAATTAAAGAAGCTGTCCTTGAGCAGCCTACTATCCTTGTTGGCGGCACACTCAAGGAATATCAGATGAAGGGACTGCAATGGATGATCTCACTTTATAACAACAACCTCAATGGTATCCTGGCAGACGAGATGGGTCTTGGAAAGACCATTCAGACCATTAGTTTGATCACGTACATCATTGAAAAGAAGAAGAACAATGGCCCGTTCCTTGTCATTGTGCCTCTCAGTACTCTCACCAATTGGAACTTGGAATTCGAGAAATGGGCCCCGTCCGTTGCGAGAATTGTCTACAAGGGCCCCCCGAACGCGCGTAAGCAGCAGCAGCAGCAGATTCGCTGGGGTAACTTCCAGGTTTTATTGACTACCTACGAATACATTATCAAGGATCGACCGATTTTGAGTAAGGTCAAGTGGAACCACATGATCGTCGATGAGGGCCACCGCATGAAAAACACGCAGTCAAAGCTGAGCAGTACTCTCTCACAGTACTACACCAGCCGGTATCGTTTGATTCTGACCGGTACTCCCTTGCAAAACAATTTGCCAGAATTGTGGGCACTTCTGAATTTCGTTCTGCCGAACATCTTCAAATCTGTGAAATCGTTCGATGAGTGGTTTAATACTCCATTCGCCAACACTGGAGGCCAGGATCGAATGGAGTTGTCCGAAGAAGAACAGTTGCTGGTCATCCGCCGCCTGCACAAGGTCCTTCGTCCCTTCTTGCTCAGGCGTCTCAAGAAGGATGTTGAGAAAGATCTACCAGATAAACAAGAAAGGGTCATCAAGTGCCGTTTCTCTGCCTTGCAGGCCAAGTTGTACAAGCAGCTTGTTACGCATAACAAAATGGCTGTTAGCGATGGAAAGGGAGGCAAGACCGGCATGCGCGGTCTGAGCAACATGCTGATGCAGCTGAGGAAACTTTGCAACCACCCTTTCGTCTTTGAGCCTGTAGAAGATCAAATGAACCCTGGGCGAGGGACCAATGATCTACTTTGGCGTACGTCAGGTAAATTCGAACTACTGGACAGGATCCTGCCCAAGTTCCGGGCCACTGGTCACCGCGTCTTGATGTTCTTCCAGATGACTCAGATCATGAACATTATGGAGGATTTCTTGCGCCTTCGTGGAATGAAGTATCTCCGTCTTGACGGTTCCACTAAGTCTGACGACCGTTCCGATCTCCTGAAACTTTTCAACGCAGAGAATTCGGAGTACTTCTGCTTCCTGCTCTCCACACGTGCGGGTGGTCTCGGTCTTAACCTTCAATCTGCAGACACTGTCATAATCTTCGATTCCGACTGGAACCCCCACCAAGATCTGCAAGCTCAAGATCGTGCGCATCGTATTGGCCAAAAGAATGAAGTTCGTATCCTTCGTTTGATTAGTTCCAATTCTGTGGAAGAGAAGATTCTTGAACGTGCACAGTTCAAGCTCGACATGGATGGCAAGGTCATTCAGGCAGGAAAGTTCGACAACAAGTCTACCAATGAAGAACGAGAAGCTTTACTGCGGACGCTCCTCGAAACTGCCGAGGCTGCTGATCAGATTAATGAACAGGAGGAAATGGATGATGATGATTTGAATGATATCATGGCAAGGTCTGATGATGAACTGGTTGTATTCCAGCGTCTTGACAAGGAACGACCAATAAGAGACCCTTACGGACCTGGCCACCCGCTGCCACGCTTGATGGGAGAGGATGAACTTCCAGACATTTATGTCTCTGAAGAGAAT